TGTGGGTCACCTGCCAAATTTTGGTGGCGGGCCTTGGACACGTTTCCTTGAGGCTTCAACACGTTGTTGAGAGACACGATGACCTAGTCTACCCAACGCCGACTTGATTTGCTGATGCCCATAGCCAGGACAACGTTGAAGGATCTCTTCAACCTCTTTATCCAGCTCCTCGTCAGACAGGTCGGCCATCTGCGGTCTTGTAGGGGTGTGGATTGTGTATTCTTGGCCATGTTCATCAATGAGGGTTTGGAAGGGCGCGTTTCTGGGCTCTCAGAGGCCATTGCTTTCCTGATGATGGCTGACAGTGCGGGGGCAAATGTCAAAGAGATCAGCAATGCGAGGGGGGGAGCGATGGCTCTCCGTGAGCACCCCCAAAATGGTAGGATTTATATCAGCAGGTGGACATCCTCTCCATCCCGTGTATACCTTGGATCGTGGCTGGAGGAGGGGAGCATGCTTCGGAGGATCCTTGGAGATGAACAATTCCGAAGTTAATGAAGTCCTCATCGCGAGAAGTCCAGCATTGATGATCACAACATAGTCATCTGAGAAGTAGACTTGGGCCTGTGGTATGCAAATATTAATCAAAGAATAAGGTGTTGATGATAATTATTGCGACAGACCTCTGTCCAATACTGTTCCCAATAGGCAACCTCATTGAGTTGCAGCTGAATTCGGTGGGGGTCGCCATTGCCAGCCTGAAGAACCTGATTGACCGAATGGCAAAGCTCTGACCAAGACCTATTGATGCGCTCGATTTGAGCCGTAGTCATGGTTGAGGTTTGAGTTGAAGTTCGGATTTGTGGCGGTGCGAAATGGGTTTATAAACAAAAATAATCAAAATAATCAAAATAGCAAAAAAAAAAAAACAAAAAAACAAAAAAAAACAAGGCATTTATAGAAGGGGTATCAAGGAGAACGGTGCCAAAATGAGTGTATGTTGCCCAGTCATGCTTGCAGTTGGCTGGGTAGGCATTGTGAATGCCCATTGACGCCTCTCCATGAGGCAACCTCAGATGACCTCATGAAATCTCACAAGATCCTGGAATATTGTCCAGGAATTCCAAGCATACCATGGGACCATCAATACCAGGATGACTAGCGAACAGACCCTTGGACCGATGGGGAGGACAAGATGCAAGGAAGAAGGAAGGTTGCTGATGACCTTCGCTACTGTTCGGACGAGTTCAGGCAGAATACTAAGCTGCATTGCATGTCAGCATGGTTCTGGATTCTGCCTGGATCATGTACAAAATGGTGCTTCGTTGCAGTACTGGTTTCTTGAACCAAATCTTCCATATTGTGCAAGGGCGAAGGTGTACTGGATGATGTAGCCTGGCACCCAGGGTGGGGGTTTCGCTCAGGGTTGCAGAAATTGGATCCAGTAGCAGCAGTTGCTGGGTCCCCGATTCTTTCCTTTTGTACAAAACGGCAAGCTGTATCCTTTTTGTAAGTCTCTGTGAACGTGTTTGTTCAAGCTGAAATATACAATACAGCTTGATTGATTATGGAAACGTGTTGGTGCAAAAAGCTTGCTCGGCAGCTGCGCCACCAGCTCGCATTTTGCACTATCTAACATCTAATCCGAGCTGTGATATGCTATGCTTTTGCTCTCCATTCGAATTTCTGTCCATCCATGCATATGCATTAGGTCTTGAAAAAGAAGATATTCCCTGCTGCATAGGCTACCTTGTATCATGCAAATGAAGTGGGAGGTCATTGCAATCATGGCGAGTCTGAATCCTCAATCGATTTTACGAATTCAAAAATATCATAGATGGATGAGAGGCAGCTGAAGGTACACATGTGGCGCGTAGCAACTCCCCTCGCCACCTGCACCCCCTCAGACATCGACACCACTCTGAACATCTTGTGTAACCTGCGTGCACTCAAAGATAACTCTACTCCATGCTCCCTGCTTGCAAAAATATTTGCCACTGTGCCAATCCCAGCCAAGTAGAGCATCAGTATCGATGTATCATGGCAGGTTCTTGATCATTGAGGTGTGCTTGCACAAATATCACTACAACAACAGACTGATTAGCAGGAAACAACGTACTTGAGCAATACCAGACACCAAGTCAAATCACATTCTCGAACCGAACTTGAAAGGAAAAAGAATCATGTTGAAATAAGTACAGGTTAAAGCAAGGTGAGTATACCTTCTCCAAAGCTCGCTTCCCAATCGCTTTACTTTTACTCTGCCAATATTCACCCACCATCAATATTGGAGTACAGAAAAATACTGGGTAAGCGTTTAGTTGTCGGGTACACAAAAGAGGGATTGTATGTACCTCTAGTTGAAAACTGGGGTTGGAATCATCTGCAGCCATATTCATCTATGCAGTCAATCAGTAAGACAATGGGCATTGGCAGAACAAGTAACCGCACCTTCAGACCCATCCCTCAAATATCCCCAAACTTTCTCGACACGATATCTGGCCCTTGGATTGCCATAGGTTGCCTCCTTTCAACGTTTGTGCATGCCGAAAGGAAACTGATGGGAAGATGTGTTGCCTCTGCAGGCTCAGCCGACTAGAACAAATCCTTAAGATAGTGAAGCCTTATATCTAACAAGCAAAATAAACAAGAAGTCAGATCCTCACCATCGCCATCAAGCTCAATGGCGATGATGAAAATTTTATAACCCACTGAGCGAGGCTGCAGAACAGGCGGTAGTTGATATAGGGTATCTGCAGAGCCGACAAAAAGCGGATGAAAAGGTAGAAATCACTTGCAACGTGCATTGCACAATTTTCCAGCCAGCCAATAGAAAGTAACCAGAAAGAGAGATTTTTTCAGCCACAGCGGCAACCTCTCGGCAACTGAGCCGCTGCGTGCTGCATGCTCGCCAATCAACAAAAATTACTTAAGCTGACCCCAAGTATAGCCCCTGTCCAGACAGTTTGGCACCCTCTGTCGTTTCCTCATTCTTCGGAAAGAATCGGGGAACTCGGAAACATGCCGCCAAGTTGCCGGCACATGAAATTTTGAAATGGCGTAACGCGGTCGAATTTCTGTTGATCGACTTCGTTTACATCCATCTCTGTTTATGCACCCACCCTGCGATGTAGCCGCCTCTAGACTGTCTACCACTGAGGGCCTGGCTGGGGATCTAATTACAGTCAACCCTCTGTACTCTTTCTTGGACTCAGATGGCTCATCAAGTTTCACTGCCAAGCTTATTCGAAGACTGCAAAGCTTAGTACTTAGTCGTCAAGTCTGCTCGTGAAGAGGCGATTGGTTAAAGGAGGAAATTCATGGGAATTGAGCGCTGTCGCACACGTCTTTGCTTGTACAGCTACGATAGACAGACTCGCATTCATCCTAAACGCGTATCTCCTGACTGTGAATGAAATACAGATGCTGTTCGGTTGAGTCGCTGGGACTGCGACATCTTGAAAGGAAGGGGGCTAACCATTCCAAGATATAGTCGCAGAGATGGAGATCTCGTAAACCAGACTTAACGGTCCATATGAAGATAAGTCGTTCAATCAGAGGAGGCACAATTTTTTTTTAGCGTACGCCCATCTTCTTTCCATGATGAGTCCAATTTTAGGCTTCATTCTCAGAAATTCAGGCCTAGCAAGAAAGGGCAAATGCGGCGGAATGCTCTGGTTTCGATGATCTTGCAGTGGGTCTAGATTGTGCTTCGGAGCACATACTAAGCTAAGTCTGTATGCTTCAGCCAATATTAAATTTTTTCCGTATACGTCAGGTACCATTTAGCAATTTAGCATGCATGGATTATAATGCTCTGGGAAACAGCACCTGCAAGACGAACATGGTATATCGCAAGCTCGAGCATTGAGTCCGACATCGAGGACGTTCATGAAATCCATCGCTCAGACGTGGTGACGGCGGAAGGTAAGGCAGGGTTCGTTTGTTGCTGTAACCAAGCAACTCTTCATCTCAATTCTTTCCGCATGCTTTGCGTATGCTGAGAACACCATTCTCTCAGGACGACACCTCACTGCCGTAATTACTCATTAGCAAAATCAAGGTTCGTTGGACTAGCTTTAATGGTTTTGTCAGTGTTTTGCTAATTTCGACAATTGCAGGGTCTGCTCTTGATCTTGTTTGAAGTCCGACGACAAGCACGAGGCTTCTATTGGGTTATTCATGTAGAAGAATAATAACCCAACTCAAGCCTTGTGTCATGATAGACCTCGTACTCCGACTTCTATGAGCATCATGTGTCTTTAATCTTTAGCCGGTTCGGCCATTGGTGACGAATCATAGGTTGTATACAACCAGCACCGCCCATGCGTCACTGCTACGAAGGAGTCAGTCTTTGGAGCCAGTCAGCATGGACCTATAACGACATAACGCCTAGACCGGCCCCAGTGCCAGAAGAAGTCAGCTTCGAACGCTCTCCCCCAACACTGATGAACACGACATCATGGGAAGAGGATGGCAGGTAACTTTGTAGTATCTGGTCCTCTCAATACTAAGTTGCATTAAAATGGTCTTTCCTGAACATTACTACCATCGATATGTCTCAATGAGCAGCAGAGGCGACGCGGCGCCGGTCATCACCCGAGATACGAGATCTTCGTAAAACGTCTCCCCATAACACCCATGGCTATGTCTTGCGCGAATGAGCCCATTCACTGAAAAAGATGGCCGGAGAATGTTGATGCCATGATAGGTTTGCTCATGAACATGTACCTTGGAGCGATTCATGATTCCTGACTCCGTCATAAGCGTCACTTCTCCCCTCCGCTTGACATGGGTACTCACACAGCTACACTCCATGACCGTGAACTGTCCTCCGTTCCTGGCAGTCGAAGGCTATAAAAGAGAGGGATTGTAGCACCAAATATTTCAAGCTCTCATAACTGTAACTGCTTAATCTCACTTCACAATGTTTGCCCGTATCTCTTTCACTGCTCTCCTGGCTCTACCTCTCCTTGCGACCGCCACTATCCTTCCCCGTGGCGGTGGTGACGGTGCAGCTTGCACCGCGACCGGTACTGCACAATGCTGTGATACTACCCAGAGCGTGAGTCTGTCTTCCTCCCAATGATCGATGCGAAATCTGACGAGAATTATTAGCCCACCGACTTGACTGCCCCCGTTGTATCCCTCTTGGGCTCCCTCGGAGTCATCGTCAGTCAACTCACCGGCAATGTGTAGGTTTTCCGTATCCTCGATAGACGGTAGCTCATGGCTGATTCCTTTGTTCTACAGCGGTGTATCCTGCAGCCCCATCACCGTCATTGGTGTCGGTGGAACCCAGTGCGACAATCAAGTTGTCTGTTGCAATGACAACAACTTTGTCAGTAATAGTGTTATCCAGATTAACTGTGCGCTCACTTGTCCTTAGAACAGCCTTGTTTCTCTTGGCTGCACACCTCTCAACGTCGGCCTCTAAGGTACTGGGGAGAATGGAAGCATTTTGGTGATTTTTTAAAGTGGATTCATCTGTTGAAACGAGTAAATAGGTTGAGAAAATAATATTTCTGGATCGTATCGTAGCAGATGTGCCAATAATTTATCATGTTTCTGATTTTTTAACCTTTCTCAGCAACCGCCGACCATTGCCTTTGAGAGCTGCAAGTTGAACGTTAAGTAAAGTCAATGACTATCTCAGATTTTGCTGGCGCGGACTGCCCGACGCGGAAAGAGACAGACAATAACGGTGTCATAAAGAGCCAAGAGTCATATATTGAGCACCAAACGCTAAGAACACTCAGGTGAACGAACCGATAGCAAGAACTCCAGAAATTCAACAGATCACTCGTCTACAACATCAAAGCTTGACGTCGAGTACACAGATTGCTAATTATGGCATACCTGGACCTCTCGAAATGTTCATTTTGGAGGTCCAAGTACGTCATAATTGCGCGTCTGGGGATGAAGGAATGCAGGGTGAGCAAAGAGGTCGCGCTTATGGGCTCGAACTCACCTTCAGCCGTTAATCCACCACTATTATCACCATTCCTTGACCGTGAGTGAACTGAGTTCGCCAAACAATGTGTCTCGTCAACGCGTCTGGTTTGCAGAATCTGAAGCTGCAAACCAGACGCGTTCGAATTCTGAAAACCAAACACGTTCCTCAATGGCGTGTCCGAAAAGATCGATATATGCCGTTGTCGTGAGAGGGAAGCTGTAGTGGATGAGTCCAAATGTCTCGACGCGTTATGAAGGACGGGAAACAACAGAGGTGACGAAGAGGTTAGAGGTTAGAAGAAGTTTGATTTGTCCATCATGCCACGTGTACCCTTTCCCCATGACCTACGACTTGGGCTCGCGGTTGCAAACCAGTCTTGCTAGTCGAACATCGACGCTAGGGTGGAATGCATTCCTTGCTATGTACCTCAGCTATAAGTGGTACATTCTGGCATGGGTATTCCAATACTATTCGATGAGGTCCGTCTGGCCTCTCCTCCAAGGATGGTCTACCTCTGGGAACTCTCCTTCCACACATAATCTCCGTCCTTCTCTTTCTTCATCGACGTCCCAGCAGCACCCCCGGCTTCATACTTGGAGAGAGACCCACCAGAAGTGCTGCAGCAACTAAGTTGTCGGTGGATTCCAGGTCTCGGCTCGCTCATTGGTCGTAAGAGTTGGGACACCAACATGGACAAGACAATTAACCGATGATGTAATTTCCCAGTGAACCTGCCTAGAGGTTCTTCACACCCAACAAGACACCCAGAAACGACACTCACTGTCCTTCTTCGCTGCTACCAAAGTATCTGACAGCCGGGCCCTTTCCCTCTACTATGACTTTAATTCGCTGGAGACGGGACTGCGATATGAGCTTGCGAGGAAAGCAGGCTGGTCTCGGTTTCACTTCGGCAAAGCAGGGAACGAAGCAGGTGGACGTACAGGTAGTGGGAGATGCAGTGCATCACCTACAGAATGGCGCTTCCGAGTCAGATACTCCGCCGTTAATCGCGATCTCGGACTCTTCATTCTGTTTCTGGACACGCAATCAGCCAGACTCACCCTCAACAACGAGGCAGAATGAAGATAGGATTCAGTGCTGGGTGCTCATCCAACTCACATCATGGCCAACGCCTTCGCGCGGTACCATTGACTCGTCTCTTTTCTTTTTCCCTAGTTATCCACTGAAAAGTCGCGATCTACGGAAATCTTCAAGCTTTGGATGGATGGTGGCTATTGACTAGTGAAGATATCTGTAGTACGTTCTAATTATTGACCATCATAAAACTACCTAAGCAATACGCCCTAGTTCATATTGTTCTGGAAACTGCGTCTTTTCTGGACGTTCTTTGATGGTTTTCCTGTAATGCGTCTAGGTGACATTTGAGCCTCACGTTGATTACTCATCCTGGGAAGGATCACATTTCGTAGAGTGGGTCTATGAAACACTCCCGCTCGTGGATAAGAGAAACATGCTCGATGTAGATATCCTCGAGGACACAAATTGAAAGACTTTGTTATATGATTCGCAAATCAGCGTCAACCGCAAGTCTGATCCTTAGCTTGACAGTGGAATAGCAGAGTTTTCTCCTCGTGTTCAATATTTATCCGACGACAAACTTCCTTCTGACGGATGGATCGATGGCCAAGCCTTCGAAAACTCGCCACGGTTTACTTGAAACACCCATTCGATAATTCAACAAGGAGAACTATGATTCAGGATCTATGATGCTTCCCAGGAAGCTCCGAATGACGGGAAAACTCGAAAGGTTATAGTTATTGGCACGTTTGCTGCTTTCCAGCAATATTCTTTTCTCCGACTGTTTATGTATCTAACAAACGAATGCACTTTACAAGATCACCAAGACGCTTTGTTCTGATTCACGAAAACTTTCCTACTCCCTTGAGAGGCCGTAGCGCAGCCTGTGTGAAGAAAACGTGAGCTTATAATTAACTTGAAAGACGGTGTTACTAACGAAATCACTGTCCACGAGGAAGGACTGGGGAGATAACTGGGGAGCCTGTAATGACCTGTCTACCTTCAATAACACTTGCTTCGTCGCCGGTCGGAAGGGTGGGAAGGACTGGAGAGATCGTGACCTGCCTGCCTGTAAGGGCGGGAATCGCTGGAATCGCCGGAGGTGCGGGTGGGGCGGGAGGTGCGGCAGGCGCTGGCAGTGCTGGAAGGGCGGGAGGCACCACAGGTGCGGCAGGTGCTGGAAGGGCAGGAGGTGCTACAGGCGCTGCAGGCGCTGCCGGTGCTGGAAGAGCGGGAGGTGCTGCTGGTGCTGCTGGTGCTGGAAGAGCAGGAGGCGCTGCAGGCGCTGCTGGTGCTGGCGGTGCCGGAAGAGCGGGAGGCGCTACAGGTGCCGCTGGTGCCGGAAGAGCAGGAGGCGCTACTGGTGCTGGCAGAGCAGGAGGTGCTGGCGGTGCTGGCGGTGCTGGAAGGGCGGGAGGAGCAGGAAGAGCCTGCCTGCCTGTAATAACAGCACCGCCATACGATTCTTCACGGCGAAGGACTGGGGAGAGGACCGGGGAGATCGTGACAACCTGTCTGCCCGTAACAACAGTACGTTTGTTGGATTCTTCTTCAACATGGGGAAGAGGATATGGGGCAGGGTCAGGGCAGGAGAGTTGTCTGCTGGCAATATCATCACGGGGAAGGACGACAGGGATCACACCAGCTCCGGCAAGGAGAGGTAGAGCCAGAAGAGCTGAGATAGAGATACGAGCGAACATTGTGAAGTGAGATCGAATAAGCTCTACAGTTGTGAGGGCTTGAGAATACCTGCTGGTTTAATCCCTCTCTTATAGCTTTCCGAGTCGTCTCCTCTGGGCGACGGAGGTCATCAGTCGTGGAGTAGAAACGAAAATACAGCGTGTATGGGTGCCAAGGTCGAGTAGGAGGGAACGAATGACGCGTCTGACGCGGTCAAAAATCATCAAGGCTCGTTCAATGGTTATGTTTTTGTGATATGGGGAACCGAGGAGGGGAGTATCAGTCGAAAATAGTCCTTGGTCACGGCGACAGCCTTCTCTGACCCTCATTTCCGCTGTATACGCTTGTCCGTGCAAACATAGTCATGAGGTTATGTTTTATGGAGATCCAACATCTCGGGACCCTGGATGATGATTGATGTTCCCCGCCGCCATCCCGCCAATGCCAATATTGCTCACTGGTTGGCGCGGCGAGAGAGAACAGATGCGATAATCGGATGCTTTCGCACCAGAGCCGGTCGAAGTGCTATGAATATGTCTAGACTGTCGGACTCTAATGGCGACCATGTCTTTTGATGCCTACATAGAGATGCCACATAAGTTGTGTTGGTTGAACATACAGCCTATGACTCGTCATGACTAGCTGAATCGGCAAGACGCATATACTACGCATGTACGCCACAACCTCCGAATTCGTACTTCGAAGCATCTGGCAAGTTGGCAGTCAGAACACGAGGTCAATCGTGAACGAACGGTTCCTGATTTCTGTATTCGGATGCTTCATTTTCAGGAAAAACATTGACGCAAAGAATGGTACAATACCTTAATAGCTGGATACCAGCCATATCACAACCAATAAGAGCGAAACTGGTTCGAAACGGCGGAGAGGTTGCACCATCTAAGATATATTGGCTCCACGACAATGCCCTGGGCAGTATCTGCACGAACACGAATGCGGTCAAGACACAGCTCTCTAGTGAAAACAGGGTCTGTCACCTCACTGCAACGGAGATGTCCGCAGATGGCCTCGTTGATTGGTTCATCAAATACACCAGCTCTTCCGGCCACGGATCGACGAGACATCCGTGGTTCTTGTGGAACACTCCGAGCGCCTTTCCGTACGCTTCCATATCCGGCACGCCAACAGCAAGTCCCTTCTGTAATTCGTCCGGGAAGGCCTTGCTGAGCTCCCCAGCTGACATATTCCACATCCCCATATCCGCGAAGGAGTTGGTCGACACCAAACAGTGAGGCGTGAGGAACTCTAGATCAAGCATCCCGCCGCATGAATAACCGAACAAGTCGAATCCGTCTTGGATGCGCGTGCGCTCTAGTAAGTTAATCAGTCCTCCATGAAGGGATTGATAATCCGGATGGCGTTTTAGCGGGAGATGTGTTGAGCAGTACAAGGTAAAGAGGAGGATTCACGTATTAATGACAGTCATATGCTCGATCGTCCGTTGTCCACAAGGGTCGCCGAATGCGGTCAATGATAGTCCTGTATGCAGGGCGATCCTGCAGGCTCAGGGTTCGTCAATACACATTAGGAACGGCAATGCAGTGGACACTCACATTCTCATTGTAACGGAAATATCTACCGATAGACGGATCAATTAGTTTGTCGCGTAGACCAACCTTTCTCGCCACGGATCGACGAATAGCGCGCTTGTTATGCAACACTCTGGGCGCCTTAAAGTACTGCCATGCCGACAGCCAGTCCTCGTGTACATCATCCGGGAAGGTCTTGCTGAGCTTTCCAAGTTGACACGCTGTACATCCCCATATCCGCCAATATACTTTGAATTCTAGATCGAGCATCCCGCCACATGCATGACCGAGCACGTCGAATCGGTTTTGGATGTGCAGGTATTGACCAGCTCGTCAATAAAGAGATCGGTAGTCCGGAGCGATAGCGGCCTTGATGAGAGACGAGTCGAGCGGCACAGAATGAAGAAAATTCGCTATCACTGGGCAGTCACAATCAAAAGAAGTTTCGGGATCGGGAGACGCTAAGATAGGCTGAAATCAGGAACGCTACGAAGAACGACTCGCTCATAGCGACGCACCTAACTGCGACTCTTTCATCACTATGTTCTTCCTCGCAAAGCTTGCCCTCATTTCTATACACGTATTAGATTGGTAGAAGTAGATGGAGCAATGCACGCACCTCTCAAGGGACGTTAAAGCTCCCATCGCAGCCACGAGATCTTGATCTCGCAGAACAGGCCAAGGATCAGTTGTTCCTCTTCAAGAATCGACAGTCCCTGTGGCAGGAAAAAGGATGCCAGAATCTCGAAGTGTGAAGATTCGGAACACGAACGCAGTCAGCTCTTCGGTGAGCCTGCAGGGAGAATCGTCAGCATAGAGAAAGATGGTGACAAGTACATTCCATGTACATCCATACAGACATTTTTCGATGACGATCGACTGGTGCATCGCGTACACCAGCTCTTCCGGCCACGGATTGACGAGACATCCATGCATCTTGTAGAACACCCTGAGCGCCTTTCTGTGCGTTTCCATATCTGCCACGCCGACAGCCAGCCCCTTCTGTATATCGTCCGGGAAGACCTTGTTGAACGTCCCAGTTGATGCGTGGGGCATCCCCATACTGGTCATCAGGTGGCACAATCCCTTCATATCGGCAGCGCGCTTCGAATTCTAGACCTAGCATCCCTCCCCATAAAAGTTGGACTATTCTTTGATGCAGGAAGTTGACAAGTCCGTCGATGAAGAGAACAACAGCGGGGAACGCGTCGAGCGGCATAGGATGAAGAGGAGAATTCGCGTATTATTGGCAGTCAACATTTCAACACCGAAGAAAGGGTTTGGGATCGGGAAGTGCTAAGATAGGCCGGTATCAGGAAGGGTATGGAGAACGACGAGCTCATGACGACGCACCTAGTTGCGACTCTTCACCACCATGTTCTTCTTTGTAAAGCTACGCCTCGTTCCTATACGCGTTTTACATTGATAGAAATAGATAAAGGAAGACACACACCTTACCACACGATGTTAACGCTTCCGTCGCAACCACGAGATGCATGCTCGTTGATCTCGAAGGATCAGTTGTCCCTCTTCAAGAACTGACAATTCCTATAGCAGAAAAACGGACGCCAGAATCTCGAAAGAATGCTCAAGTGCCTAGCTGACACGCTGCTGAAGATGGACCGTCGATGTTCTTTGCGGCGAATCACTTGTAGCATCGAGAAAAAGTTACGGTGAGCTATCATAGCTCACCGAGTTGAGGAAGTTGGGCACTGCTCCATGCTAGGACCCTCTGTTGCAATTGGTGGTGTTGACACTGCCGAAACGGAACGATGTCGAGAGAGGCACTCCTGCTGAAACTGGCATCAAGAAGGTATACGGAGTATTGGAGAGACATGATGATGGAAGGACTCGGAAGGGAATCGGACCGGGAGTCGATCTTGTTTGTTGATGCGGACGTCCAAACAACTTTTCTTCGATCTTGCTCGCCATGCTCCTCGAGGGCTAGAGCAGAGTTAAATCGCTGTCTTCATATCGACAATGACCCCGTATAAAATTTCTTCTCTCGTTGGCAACACTCACTCCCGGGCCATTTCGAACTTTTGCCTGTTCAAGTTAATGCTTACATACGGTATTAAAGGTCCCGTGGCTTCTGAAGTTCGTCTGTTCTACTAATCTTATTTTAGTCTTGTATAGATATGCCGCGTCGTTCATCCTATCTCTTGCCTGTAGCCAAACGGGGTCCGTAGACGCGAGCGATTCGGAGATAGTTGCGATTCAACGATCTCTCGGGCGTGTAGGCGCTGCTGTGAGACCAGGGGCGTTTATGGTTGATGAGTACCCTCTATTGAGGTGGGTACAGCGCGGTCACCCCTACTAAACAATACTAATAAAGTAAATGTATTAGATATCTCCCTTTGTACCGTCCAGAGCTGCGTTCATGGACGCCGAGGAGCTTTCGTTGTACCGAAATCAAGTTGCAGGCGTCAGGATACGGTCCAGCCTTACTTTTCGAAGTATCTCCTTGAGAATCAAGCCAAGCTCCGGCTGAACTACGACGAGGTCGTATACCTCGTTGTTACGATGTTCGGTTCCGGATCTACTACCACGGCTAGTGCGATAACCGTGGTGATTATGGTCGCGGCATGTTTTCCCCACATGCAGACATGGGTGCAGGAGGAACTAGATGCTGTTGTTGGTCGTAAATGAGGTGGGTTTCCTTCCTGAGTTTGTAAAGCCTCTAAGTTGATGTGCTGGATTTAAGCACCAACATTTGATGGCTATGTTGACTTGCCTCGAGTCTTACTGGAGAGCTACCGGTGGAGGCCTGTCGGTGGGAACGGTAAGCTGATGTCCTCGCCCTCACTATATTGGTGCTAATGAGATCTTTTGAAGGCTTTGCTCATCGTGCATCTAGGGATATCATTTGGGTAAGTCACTCACCATTATCTTCGTCCGAAGAGGAATCGAGCTCGATCTCAGCGAAAGTACTGCATACCAAAGGACGCCATCGTTATCGGAGACCACTGGTCCATATGCCGAGATCCCTTAGTATTTGCCAGAAGTGTTCGACCCTACTCGCTGGTTCGACGAGAACGGATCTCTCAGATCCGATGCACCGTTGTTCAATTTTGGCTTTGGTAGACGGTGAGGAATGCTTAGCCGGGTATCTGTGTTCCTCTTGCTAATTTTGTGTATGTAGGGTATGTCCCGAGAGATACGTAGCTGATCGCTCGCTTTTTATAATGACAGCCCTGCTCGTTCAGGATATCGGAGGATGAGAAAGCGCCCATTGACCAGCGAGGATTTGGGGAAGAAGGGACCAGTATTACGCCTGATACGTTCCAGGTGTGTTTCGAGAAGCGGGTGGAAAAGATGGAAGAATTGTTGGAGTGTTTATTGACTCAGAAGACTTTTCAGAAGGACTTTGCTTATTGGTATATATTACAGATGATATAACGATATCCGGGCCCGTGTTTCATTTTATCGGTCAAATATATCGATAATGCGTCCCATTCATAATATCCTTTCTTCCGATTTAGCAATTACATTCAAGGTCCTCTTGGAGCGATTATCTACGTCCTATCGAAGGCCGACCCGATTCAAGATGCGGCTGTTGGCTTCAATTACTTGTGAAGGTCAGGACTGGCCAAGCGGGGATTCGTATTGCTTCAAGTAAGTACTAGTTTCAATCAGACGTATGAACTGAGTTCGGTGTCTTTTTGCAATTCTTTGTAGCTACACATCACTGCGGATTGAAGAGCTCTCTCGATTTCTCAGCTGCCAGGTGGTCACTATGGTCCCAACCTCGCATATCACCCTCGTTCCGCAAAACACTTCCAAGACCCTTGTACGAGCTTGCTTCCAAAGCCGAGCTCATCGTCTGGCTAACTAGGGCTTTCGTTTACACCATTCTTCCCGGATACTCGAGCCATATTCCCAGTGCCCGAGTCATTAACACCGGCAATCTTGTGATGTTTGTCGACTCGCTTGTACATCTCCATCGGGTTGGATTTCCACCACATTGGCTGGAAGACTTCCTCGGAGCATTACTATTTAATTCTCTTGTTACTGATGTCGCGCTGTACTCCGGAGAATGGCCTGTCCCGCTGGAAGAACAAGACAAACGCGTTCCGAAAAGAAAAGTCGACATCTATCCGTGGCTCATTGATTTGGAAAGTATTTTTGCAGACGCGTATGAAGTGATTCTTTCCACTTTGTTCGACCCGCAGACTTTTCCCGCTGGTCTAGCGATATAGGGTTGTTCTAGCTTGATATTCCAGCGAATCCTATTATGGCCCAGGACAAATTGACCTGCATCTTCTTGGTATTCTACAGTCGCAAGTTCATCAAGTGCATTCATCATGATTTGACTTCTGAGATGCACGACATTTTTTGAGGGGCGCAGGTCGGTTGGTCATGACAAGAAATTCTACGTGCTCACTGCGACCGAGACGGTGGATGTCTACCATGGGGTGATCAGATGGCGGATGAGAAAGACGAGAATGGCGAAGCTAAAGGAGGAGAAGTGGTAGATGGCGGTGTATCGTTCGGATTTTCGGTCTATGTGTGAGTCGTTCTGATAATTGCTCCAATGAAACTGTTCTCATGCGATGAAACAGTGGTTGGTCCTTATGTTGTTGACAAGTCGTTCGACGTAGTAGACAACTAACTATGGCAGGGAATTCTAACCGTTTCCTTTGTCCCTTGTCGTTCAAGCTTCCGGTTTATGACATGGCTTGACTCTCGGGACCGAGGTCCAGAAGGACAACAGAAAATCTGCATACCCGATGGCAAATTCCTAATCCTATTAATATCTCGATCTAGATATTTGTATAGTACGTGAATATTGGAGATCATATTGTCACAATCGTTCCAATTCACGCCAAATTCTCGATTCCCTTAGAGAGCAATATTGATGGGGTTGCACCCAAGAGCAATGAGACCATTCTGTTAGTAAAAGTGTTAGCTTAGATTCGATTTAAATGACAACAATACTGACGAAGCTGTTATTCTGACAGCAAACAACCTGATTGGAGCACTGAGTGGTGCCGAGACCAATAGCAGTGATTGGGCTGCAAGTGAGACCACTACAAAGATGTCTTTAGCCATGCGCCGCGACATTTCCAGGAGACGAAACCTACACATCACCAGCAAGGCCACCAAGGGCGATTCCGAGGAGACCCAAAAGACTTTGAATAGGATTGGAGGTGGCCTATTTTTCGTGTTCAGCCCATTTCTCCAATGCTCGCGAACGACGACAAACTCACACTCTGAATGGACGAGCAGCACTGCGCGGTGCCAGAGGTGCAAGTCGTACCATCTCGGGGAATGGCAGTGGCGGTCGCAAGGAGAGGCAAAGCCAGGAGAGTGAAAGACGAGAGACGCATTTTGAACTAGGAGAGAGCTGTACAACTGTGCAGGTTGTTCGACTTGATGATACCAGTAAATTCACCTCCATTTTATAGAATTTGGGCCTCTTTGCTATCCCCGAGTGTAGAGGTCATCCGGACATTGACCGCAAGCAATATTAGCTTGTCCAGACAGCTGCGCGACTGACCAAGGCGAGGAATGTGTACATTTGACACAGATTATGCCCTTGATGACTATTTCTTGGTGGAAATGCCGTACCGCGATGTCCTATGTGCCTGAGGAGGCGCTGCAAGGAAGCGAATATCAGTCGCTAATTTACGGCGAAAACCTTCCCCGACGTACTTGGCCATTGCCTTGAGTTTATGCATTGATAACGATCGGCATATCTCATTCAAGTTTCAGGGCGGACTTTCCGGTCATCCCATGAAGAAATGCCGCCGCCGTGATCGCATTGACTGGACGCCGCGTTTACATTCCAACAAGAATCGCATTTGGGATTAGAAAGTTCGAAAGTGCAGCCCCCTTTTTTCGTGGCATGTTACTCGCCCATTTCTTCAGAGCAGAGAAGGCGATCTCTTCTACGTTGATGAACTTTCCCGGCTTTGCAAACACACTGTCAAATTATACCGGAAGCAATTATCGGTACACCCTGATCTGCTCAGCTCCCTAGAAGTGACGTACATTTTAGATATGCATTTTGAATATCGGTGTCACCGATTAATGCAAATCTCTATACGAAAGTGCATACTCCGGGAGACCATATACTAGTAGACACTTGAGACTTCTATGCGTTGCTGTTGATAGGACCTGCGAGGAAACACATTACCTTGTAAGGATGTACGGTGAATGCTACTTACCTCGTGTCGGATGTTCCCCTGGTCAGGTTTGACTCATTGGCAGGTGCAACGCAGACCGTAATAATGCCACTGAACACACCCACTAGTGAGTCGTCCTTCTGATAGCTTGTAAAGTTAACATGGCAACAGGTACGCTGTCTCATATGGCACATGTAGTATTTCTTTTTGACAGTGCCGGAATTTTCAGGACCCAATATCAACCCAATACCGCCACCGAACGAGACACGAATCGAAATTATGCCGACGCACACTGTAGTATGCAGGAAGAAGCATGGAAACTTACAGATAGAATCTGAAGTAAAAGTGTTCCCAAGACTTGGATTGCCTGAGCATAGAAAACCTATGATAAAATGATGTACGACTCGGAATTATGTGTGAATAGTGGTCCTGTTATTGTCCTATTCGGCCCTTGGTAGGCGGCGGCATGGTCAACACAACAGTTAAAAAATATAATAATCATAAAATACTTAAGTTCATAAATTCCATGCGCCAATATTTTAGGATTGCTGCTATGTGTTCCTTGTCGAGTGGAGAACGCAAATGGAAGGGGCCGTGGTAAGAGACAGTACTGTTAGTACTTAGTTAACAGTGTTCGTCACGAGGTCCGACCGCGTGAGAAATTGCCAATTTCAATTTCCAACTGCAACTTCAACTTCACCGCAGACGCAGCAAAATTTGGTTCCCTCAGATCTGAGGCCGTATTTGGAATAACGACTTGGAGTACAGAATGAAAAACACTGTTGAAGGTACATTTATTCTTAAAGAATTTCGTGTAAAGTTGATATCAAATGACTAATGCTGTTAGACGACGATGTGTATAGCTGGCCATCGACAATCATTTGCCATAAATGCGGCAGGAGTTTACCTTCTTCTAAAGACCCTACTCTCTCGTCGTCTGAGCTCTTTTAGAGGCTTCGCGAGGGATATTCGCCTGCTGAGTCAGAAATAAAATCAATTTCCGGTGTTCACTCACAGATAGTCAAGGAAGTCGCTGCATATACGACGTTGAAATATTGCGACTTCTGCGCAATCTAGATAAATTGTACAGAGACCGTGACAGGCTCAGAACCTACGCCAATCATTATGGCACTCTCTTATCGCCAATACGACGACTGCCTTACGGCATCTTGCTGCCAATATTCAAAGAAGTTTGCGGAAAGCAATACAAAATGCATACGCCTAGAAGGTCCCTACGTCTTTCCATGCACATCTCTATTGGATAGATACCAATTATTATTATATTTGAACTAGCGACGCGTCCATCCACGTGATCTCATCATGGTTTTTCCGATTTCAAATTCTACGATCTCTCCAGCACATCACCGTCACCACCCAAGACGCAGAATTTGAGGCCTGGCGTCCACCAGAATTTTTCAATAATTGTGACCGGCAACTTCAAGTACGTCGGATCGTCGGAGTCAAGATATTTCTTTCGATAATAGAGCACCTTCCAATACGCCATCTTTGCTCGCGTAGTATGGAAGATTTGGTTCAAGCTAGTACAACAACACGCCATTCCGTACGTGATGTAGAGAAAATTTAGAAACACGCTGACAGTGACACGCATTAATGCAGCTTAGTATTCCACCTGAACTCATCAACGAAATCATCGATTACCTCTGGGATGACAAAGACGCGCTCATCGCCTGTTCTTTCGTCTGCCGACTCGTCTACCTCCGCACCCGTGTACACCTCTTACACAGCATCGAGCTCAAGCACACACCCGACGATTCAGTCTCCCAAAGCATCCTCCCATACATCAAGAGCATCACGATCAGCCAAGGCTCCAGTCCAATCCCCAGCCTAACCCCATTCCTATCAACCCTCCCAAACCTAACCACGCTCTACCTCGACAGACTCCAATTCCCCGATCCATGGTCGCTCCACCATCTCATCGGTCAGCTCCCCAGGTTGACAAGCCTCGAATTGACTGCGATACGATTCCGGCAGGATTTTCTCGTAGAGCTCGGGAGCGTTGATGGGTCGTTTCCGAAGATCAACAAGATATCGATGTGGGGGACGTCGTTCCATGCTTCCGTCGTGGAGTTCCTCATCCATCGAAGGGAGCTACGAGTGGTATATGTGGACTCCCTGCGTGAGCTTTGTATCATGTACCCTGCTGGGGAATATCTCTCTTCGATATGCGCGTTTGTCCGCGCGGCAAGATCATTGAGGAGCTTGGAGATTCGTATCGATAGAGTTGGTGAGTGAGGTCTTTGTTTTTTGGTACAACGTACACTGATGATGGTTTGCAAAATGAATTGAAGACTATCGTATAAACGTAATGTCGGAATGGCCGGCTCAGCCTGACGTGCTTCCCCTGACGATGTCGACGTTGAAGATTGAGATGGAGTGTAGTGAACGCGGTTGGCATATGAAAGTCATGAGATGGTTGCTCGATTCTCTGACTGGCGCTGATGGACCCATCATGGTGGAGACACTTATGTTGATGGTCGTGCCTCCCACGCTTTTTGATAGCTTCACTATGGATGACAATGATTGGGTGAGGCAATGGTCAAGGTTGGATGAGATCCTAACAGGCCGAGACATGAAGGCGTTTCAACGGATGAAGGTGACATTTAACTCTCACGTTGATGACCCTTCTTCATGGGAAGGATCGCATTTCATAGAGTGGGTCCATAAAACACTCCCGCTCGTGGATAAAAGAAACATGCTTGATGTAGATATCGTTGAGGATACAAATTGAAAGACTTTGTTATATGATTCGCAAATCAGCGTAAACCGCGAGTCTGATTCTTGGCTTGACAGTGGAATAGCAGAGTTTTCTCCTCGCGTTCAATATTTATCCGACGACTAGCTTCCTTCTGTAATACATTTTCTCCCTGGTAGTAAGTAACATATATCATGATTCTATATCAACTAGAGCTCCGATCGATCGATGGCCAAACTCACCACGGCTTACTTGAACCACCCATTCGATAATTTGACAAGGAGAGCTATGATTCAGCAGGAAGCTTCGAATGACAGAAAAACTCGAAATGTTATAGGTATTGGTACAAAGTTTGCTACTACCCAGCAATATTGTTTTCTCCAACTATTTATCTATTAAACGAACGAATGCACTTTACGAGATCACCAAGACGCTCTGATTCACGAGAAATTGCCTGCTCCATTAGAAGCCAAAGGCGTTCTGTTCGAAGAAAATATGAGCGTATAACCAACTTGAAAGACAGCGTTACTAACGAAATCACTGTCCACGAGGAAGGACTGGGGAAATAACTGGGGAGCCTGTAACGACCTGTCTGCCCGCAATAATGGCACCATCATCACGAGGAAGGACTGGGGAGAGGACTGGGGAGATGGTGACGACCTGCCTGCCCCTAATCATAGCACGGGGAAGAGCGGGAAGGACTGGGGAGACGGTGGGAGAGCCCGTAACAACCTGTCTGCCTTCAATAACACCTGCTTCATCGACGGTCGGAAGGGTGGGAGGGACTGGGGAGATCGTAACCTGCCTGCTAATAACATTTGATTCGTCGCGAGGAAGGGCCGGAAGAGCTGGGAGGGCTGGAGGAGCAGGTAGAGCTGGAAGGGCCGGAAGAGCCTGCCTGCCCGTAAGCGCTGGAATCGCTGGAATCGCTGGAATCGTCTGCCTGCCTGTAAGGGCGGGAATTGCTGGAACGGCTGGAGGAGCTGGCGGGGCAGGAGGAGCCGGGAGAGCTGGAATCACCTGCCTGCCTGTAAGGGCGGGAATCGCTGGAATCGCTGGAACGGCCGGAGGAGCCGGTGGGGCGGGGGGAGCGGGAAGAGCTGGAATCACCTGCCTGCCTGTAAGGGCTGGAACGGCTGGAACGGCTGGAATGGCGGGAGGGGCGGGAATAGCTGGAAGAGTCTGTCTGCCTGTAAGGGCTGGGAGGGCTGGGAGAGCGGGAGGAGCCGGCAGAGCTGGAAGGGCGGGAAGAGCCTGCCTGCCCGTAATAACCGCACCGTCATCCGATTCATCGCTGGGAAGGGGAATGGGGAGAGAGGTAGGGCATATAACAGGGACAGGGAAGATTGTAGGAATCTCCCTGGTCATAATATCATTACGGGGAAGGGCGACGGGGATAACACCAGCGCTGGTGAGTAGAGGCAGAGCTAGGACAGCGGAGACAGAGATACGAGCGAACATGGTGAAGTGAGATTAATAAGCTGTACAATTGTGAGGGCTTGAGAATACCTGCTGGTTTAATCCCTCTCTTATAGCTTTCTGAGTCGTCTCCTCTGGGCGACGAAGGTCATCAGTCGTGGAGTAGAAACAAAAATACAGGTCTGTGAGTGCCCAGGACGAGTGGAGGGGAACGAATGACGCGTATGACGCGGTCAGGAACTGTGAGCCTTGTTTAACAGTATGTTTTTATGATGTGAGGAACCGAGCAAGGGAAAATCAGTCAAAAATAGTCCCTTATCACGGTGTCACCCTTCTCTGACCATCATTACCAGTGAATTGGCTCGTCCGTGCAAGAATAGTGATCAAGTTGCAGTTTGCGAAGATCTAGTATCTTGGGTGACGATTGATATCCCCCGCCGCTATCCCGCCTCGTGTCGTTCGTTGGATGCAGTGATACTATTCGAAAAAGACCACCTTCATGCTCATGCAAAGTAGCGTCGAGAGAAAAAAGTCCGATGCTTTGGCACCGGAGTCGATCTATGCGTGGGCCATGGATACGTCCAGACCGTCAGGCACAAATGGCGGACTATGTCTTCTGTGCCTTCGCAGCGGTGCCGAGTAGGTGGCGTTGCAGCCTATAACTAGTCATGAATGGCTGAATCTGTACTTCGAGGCATCTCGCGAGACTTAGAAGCCAGGACACGAGGACAATCATGGACGAACGTTTCGTGATTTCTGTATTCGGGTATGTACTGATCAAACATCATTCTTTGAAATAACATTGACACAAAGAATGGTGCTATACCTAGCTGGATATAAGCTGTCGCAGCCACCAAGAACGAACTCCTTCAAGAGTCCAACGGCGGAGGGGTTGTCGATGACAAAGTTCTGAGCAGTCTCTGCGTGCCCGTTGATCGCAAGGGTCAGAAAATAGCCGTGATCAAGATGGTCCCCATGTACTCAGCTCTCCGAGCCTACACGGTCTGTCAGCAATCGTCAAGAACCAGAGTGAAATGGCCGCTTACATCTCTACCGCAACGGAGATGTCCGCCAACAGACTCATCGATTGGTCTATTGGATATACTCATTCCTCCAGTCACGCCTTGAGCGCTTGTCGTATACTTTCATATCCGCTATGTCCAGTCAACCCTTTCTGTACATCGTCCGCCCTATTGGCTCCCTAGCCGACGCATTCTACATATTCGTCAATGAATTGGTACACGCCAAGTGACACGGTGCCTGCATACCTCGAACTCTAAACCGAGTGTCCCACCCCACGAAAGAACCCGTCTTGGATGCGGAGGTGCTCCAGGAGTTTGCGATGAAGGTACCAACAGACAAGAATAACAATTGCTTCAATGAGCGATGAGTCATTGAACAGCAAAATTCGACCTTCGACCGACCAGTCAGCATTTGCATAGATGAAGAGGCTATACTGTCGCGTAACGCGTTACATTGGTAAAAGAAGACGGAGGGTAAAACACACCGTATCAAAGGACGCTACCGCTCCGACATAGTACGAAGGATCAGTTCCTCTTCAAAAATTGACAGTTTCCGTCGCAGAAAAAAGAAAGCCAGAATATAGAGAGGAAGCCTAGGTGTCTGGTCAGGACATTGCCGGAGAAAGATCGTCGACATCGCTCTTCACGACGATGATTCACTTGAAAAGGAATTAGCGTCAAGAAAAAGTCACGAGAGATGACTCACCGAGTTGGGAAAACTCAGCATTACTCCATCCGAGAACATCCTCGAAGATAGCTCCACCTTCAAGCATACGGACACAACGTCAAATGCCGGATACCAGGTTTGCCATCCTTGAACGTCAGCTCTCGAACAGCATTCATTCGAGTCGCTAAAGTGGCGGTGGTGGCAAGTGTTGTCAATGGCGACGACCACTGTTTCCATAGGCCTCTGAACGTTATCGAAGGTTGTGTATTGTAAGTTTATACGAAAAGTGGATGTAAAGAGGAACTACTGCCTGCTGAAACAAGAAAAAGGTCAGTATCTCGTTTAGGAGAGAGCCATAGTAGAATAGCTACCTCATGTCTTCACCGACGCTCTCTCCACATCCCTGGCCTGCTCCCTCGCGATAGAATATGTCATGAAACCAACAGACCCAACGAGAGGAATTCCAATGTATTTCATACACCCCCATAACTGCACAATCAGCACCCCGATTCTCACTGGTTCTCCTTCCAACACCTCCGTTCCCGGCACACGTTGATACACCGCATCATTGACAATAAGACAAACGAAGAAGATTGGCTGTGGCGGAAGGCTGTCAAGGATACCCGTCCAGCCGGTCTGTTCGTCGTTAGGTTGAGGAAGAAGAGCAGAGCGACAAACACGGTGACGATAGCTAGTCCAGTGATGGCACCTGTGGAGAGAATGGTAGATATGACGCGTTCTTGAGTGGCGAGAGGATACGGAAGTAGTGAAGAATGTCGAGAAGGTATAGGCTGGTTCCTGCAAAGTACCAGCATTTGGACAAAAGCTGGACGCGCGGAGAGCGAGCAATGAACATGGTGGTGTTGATTTGGGAGAAGGGCCTACAAAAGCAACCGATGCTTTTGAGGATGATGGGAAAAAGGGTCGTACGCTGGCCGCTGTCTAGAGCGCAGGGAGAGTAGGGCTGCTTGCATGGACAAGATTTGAACTTGTTCGTCTGAGCGCATACATGGCTCTTCCCCTTCTTTTCTAATGCCTGCACGTTCACCAGGTTTCCCAGTAGCTATTCAACATTCAAGTTTTAGGAACCAGTGCTGGGTATGCAGTCGTACCATACTTATGTGGCCAGGGTTAAGCGTTCGTGGTGAAGGTCGATTAGTCTGAAGTAGAAGAACGTTTGTACGCTGCACTCTGAGCGCTCCACAAAACGAAGGACGTGCCCGACTCCGAGATCATCTAGTCCAACCAGATAATTCACGCACTTGCTGTGAAAATAATCCCGTCAAGTTTGGAATGGAGAACCGGTCCAGAATAGAAAGAATATCGCCATCCAACGTCAGATTCTGAATTCTGTTATGGACGAAAGTGGGAAAGAGCCATGCGGTGGTTTTCACGTCGAGTTTGAATTTGACCTTGCATCAATGGACATCTGAAAGATACGTATAAGCAAAACGTCATTTGGAAGACATTGAACAGGCGCGAATACGGATTTATGAATCTCGTTCGTGCCGGAGAGGAGCATCGAACAATGTAGCCTGCGGCTGAAGCTGTTCATCCTGGATTCGAGGTGGCGTATATGCTCCATCAATGATCCCAACGTCTCCCAGGTCCAAGGCAGGACGGACGAACTTCAGAACTTCAGCCATGGGACCTTTAATATCGTATGTAGGTATTAACTTGACCAGACGAAAGTCCGAGATAACGGGCCGGGGTGCGAGTGTTGCCGGCGAGAGAAGGAACTTATACGTGGTCATTGTCGATACGAGGACAGTGATTTAACTCTGCATTGGCGCACGAGGAGCATGGCGAGCAAGATCGACAAAAAGTTGTTTGGACGTTCGCGTCAACAAACAAGATCGGCTTCCGGTCCTCCCCTTCCGAGTCCTTCCATCATCATCATGTCTCCCCAATACTCTGTATACCTTCTCGATGCCAGCTTTAGCAGGAGTGCAACGCTCGATATCGTTCCATTTCGTCAGTGCCAGCACCATCAATTGCAACAGAGGATCCTAGCCTGGAGTAGTGCCCAACTTCCTCAACTCGGTGAGCTATCTCCAAGTCAGTGACTTTTTCTCGATGCTAACTTCGTTCTCAAGTAATTCGTCACAAGGAACGTCGACAGTCCTATCTTCAGCAGCGTGTCAGCCAGGCACTTGAGCATCCTCTCAAGATTCTGGCGTCCTTTTTTTCTGCTATGGAGATTGTCAATTGTTGAAGAGGAACAACTGAGCCTTTGCTCTGTGTTGGAGATCAACATCTCTGGGTGTGGAGGGAGCATTAACATCGTTTGGTAAGGTGTGTGTCTTCCTTTATCTATTTCTACCAATCTAACACGCGTACAGGAACGAGGCCCAGCTTTTCGTAATCTTCGTTCCGGTCAAGCAACTACGAATAAGAACGTGGTGACGAAGGGTCTCAGCTAGGTGCGCCGTTATGAGCTAGTCGTGCTCCACAGGCCTTCCTGATCTCTCCACATCTCCAGTGCCTTAACGCCTCTCGATCCCAAACCATTTCTTCGGTTTTGGCTGCCCGTAATACGCGAATTCTCCTCTTCATCCTATGCCGCTCGACGCGTCCTCTTCCATTGGACCAGCAGCATCGGCAGTCGTATCAGCCAGTTGACCCCGCTCTATGGCCAAACTTATATCAGTCCTTCCGCACGAGTTTCTCTTCTATTCTTGGTGAAGACGCAGACGACTCGAAAGAAGCCATCTCTCCTCCATCGCCTCCTGCTGTTGATCCCTTCATCGACGCACTTATCGACTTCCTGCATCCTAGAACGGTCCAACGTCCGTGGGGAGGGATGCTAGGTCTAGAACTCGGCAGTGCACTGGCGGCATGAAGAGATTACGTCCACCTGGCGACCAAATTATTGGCGTTTCAGGATGTGGAACGCGTCAACCTGAAGAGCTCTTCCTGGACAATGTACAGAAAGGACTGGCTGTCAGGCGTGACAGATATGGAAGCGTACGGAAAAGGCGCTGAGGGTGTTCTACAAGAAGCATGGATGTCTCATCAATTCGTAGCCGGAAGAGCTCGCGTACTGCGATACACCAATCGATCATCATCGGCAAATGCCCGTATGGTTGTACGTGGAATGTACTTGTCACCATCTTTCTCTATAGCTGACGATTCTCCTGCAGGCTCACCGAAGAGCTGACCGCGTTCGTGTTCCGAACTTCGAGATTCTGGCGTCCTCTTTCCTGCTACTGAAGATTGTCAATTCTTGAAGAGGAACAACTGATCCTTGGCATGTACTGTGAGATCAACATCTCCTAGCTGCGATGGGAGCCTTCACGTTCCCTTGACGAGGTGTGTGTGTTGCTCCATCTACTTGTACCATTCTAACACATGTATAGAAATGAGGCTAAGCTTTGTGAAGAAGAACACGGCGACTGAAGAATCGCAGCTAGGTGCGTTGCTATGAGCGAGTCGTTCTTTGTAGCCTCCCTCATTTCGAACTATATTAGCGCCTCCCGATCCCGATCCCGTTTTTGTGGTTGTGACTGCCCAGTGATTGCGAATTCTTTTCATTCTGTGCCGCTCGACGCGTCTCCCACCAAAACCGCCGTACGGACTATCGATCTCTTCATGGAGTGCTGGTTAACTTCCTAGAGATCAAGACGGATTCGACTTGTTCGGTTATTCTTAGGGAGGGATGCTTGGTCTAGAGTTCCTCAGGCCGCACTGTTTGGTGTTGACCAACTCCTTCGCGGATACGGGGTTGTGGAACATGTCAACTAGGGAGCTCAGCAAGGCCTTCCCGAACGATATACAGAAGGGGCTGGCTGTCGGCGTGCTGGATACAGAAACATACGGAAAGACGCTCGGAGTATTCCACAAGAACCGCGGATGTCTTGTCGATCCGTGGCCGGAAGAGCTGGTGTATTGATGAACCAATCAACGAGGCCGTCTACGGACATCTCCGTTGCAGTGAGGTAATAGACCCTGTATTTTCATTAGAGAGCTGTGTCTTGACCCCATTCGTGTTCGTGCAGATACCGCCCTGGGCTTTGTCGTTTCGCCTATACATCTTAGATGGTACAACCTCTCCACCATTAGAATCTTGAAACAGTTCGCTCTTATTGGGTGTGATATGGGCTTGTATCCAGCTACTAAGGTATTGTGACATTCTTTGCGTCAATGTTCTTCCTGAAAATGAAGTACCCGAATACAGAAATCAGGAACCGTTCGTTCATGATTGTCCTCGTGCTTCCAACTCGCCAGATGCTTCGAAATACGAATGCGGAGGTCACGGCGTACATGCATAGTATATGCGTCCTGACCGATTCAGCTCATCATGACGAGTCATAGGCTGCATATTCAACCAACACCACTTATGTGGCATCTCTACTATGTAGGCATCAGAAAACATGGTCGCCATTGGAGTCCGAAAGTCTGGACATATTCATAGCACTTAGATCGGCTGTGGTGCTACAGCATCGGATTACCGTATCTGTTTTCTCTCGACGCTACAACACATGAAATTGGTCTTTTCCAAACAGTACCGCCAGCCAGTGAACGACACTAACATTGGCGGGATGGCGGCGGGAAACATCACTCATCACCCAGGGTCCCGAGATACTAGATCTCCGTGAAACATAACCTCATGACTTATGTTTTGCACGGATGTGCCTATCCACCGGAAACGAAGGTCGGAGAAGCGTGTCGCCGTGACCAAGGACTATTTTCGACTGATACCCCCTTGTTCGGTTCCCCACATCATTCAAACATACCTATTGAACGAGGCTTGATGATTCCTGACCGCGTCAGACGCGTCATTCGTTCCCCCCTACTCGACCTCGGCACTCATACACAGCTGTATTTTCATTTCTACTCCACAACTGATGACCTCCGTCGCCCAGAGAGGACGACTCGGAAAACTATAAGAGAGGGATTAAACCAGCAGGTAATCTCAAGCCCTCACAATTGTAGAGCTTATTCAATCTCACTTCATCATGTTCGCTCGTATCTCTGTCTCAGCTCTTCTGGCTCTACCCCTCCTTGCCAGCGCTGGTGTGATCCCTGTCGTCCTTCCCCGTGACGATATTACGAGCAGACAACTCTCCGACATCCTCTGCCCTGCCCCGTATCCTCTTCCCTTAGTTGAAGAATCCAACAAACGTACTGTTGTTACGGGCAGACAGGTTGTCACGATCTCCCCGGTCATCTCCCCAGTCCTTCGTCGCGAAGAATCGTATGATGGTGCTATTATTACAGGCAGGAATGCACCTGCAGCACCAGCCGCACCGGCCGCGCCTGCAGCACCGGCAGCACCTCCCGCCGCACCAGCACCTGCAGCGCCTGCCGCACCAGCTGCTCCTGCAGCACCTCCTGCAGCACCTGCACCAGCCGCACCCGCAGCGCCAGCAGCACCTCCTGCCGCGCCAGCAGCACCAGCAGCACCAGCAGCGCCTGCCGCGCCTGCCGCACCAGCGCCCAGCGGCGGTAACGGCGCCGCTTGCACCGCAACTGGTACGGCGCAGTGCTGTGATTCTACTCAGAGCGTGAGTCTATCTTCCTCCCACTGATCCATGCAAAAGCTGACGAGAATTATTAGCCCACCGACTTGAGTGCCCCCGTTTCAACCCTCTTGGCCCTCCTCGGAGTCGCCGTCGGTCAGCTCACTGGCAATGTGTAGGTTTTTCCATTATCCTCAATAGACGGCGGTAGCTCATGTTCTACAGCGGTTTGTCCTGCAGCCCCATCTCCGTCATTGGTGTTGGCGGAACCCAGTGCAACAACCAAGTCGTCTGCTGTGATAACAATAACTTCGTCAGTAACAAGTGTTTCGCAGATTGATTCGACACTCACCTTTCCTTAGAACGGCCTTGTTTCTCTTGGCTGCACCCCCCTCAATGTCGGGCTCTAAAGGACTCGTGAACCAGAACGTTTTGGCTATAGTTGCAGTTGAAAGTGGATTAATTTGTTCGACAAGTAAATAGATCGAGAAAAGTCAGTATTACTGAAAAGTAACATATGTGCTAATGACTATCATGTTTATCATTTTGAAGCCTTGGATTTCCCGACCGTTCCCTTACAGTGTCTTTGCACTAAGCCGGAGTCAGGTAATTAGTTGGACAAGTTTGAACACCATCCCAGGTCGGTCAATGCATTAGAGCGTTACCATCTCCGTCTGATTGTATTGCGGTCGTCGAGGAGATATCGCTCAGGACTTTTCGTTGAGTCTCCTTTTAGAGATTCTGGTCTGGGAGGAGTGGGTGGGATATATGGATCTGATAAATGGATTCTACATAACCATCTATATATCGTCTTTCCGTTTTCTTTACATGCTAAGCCGCCGGTAATCGATACGGATGTTTGAAGGCATCTATGCATGACACGCCTCGAGGACTAGGGTCTGGCCTGGCCTGAAGACTACCGACGGTAACATCCGATCTCCTGCCTCAGAACCCAACAAGTATCAGAAGGCACTACTCTTGCCGTTCTTTTCCGTCTGCTTCATGGCTCCCAACTTCATAAAACACGGTGACGACCGAGAGTTTGCCTGACTCTGAGGACCTTCAATGGACCAAAGCGTGAAAAGACGCGCAGTTATCACTGCGGCTGTCAACATCACCGCCGTGGCTTTCGTTGCCCGTCTCGATGCTCACAGATCTCCCAGTATAGGACCTACACAAATCCGATTCGAAAGCACAACACAGAAAATCAAGAAATAGATACACCAAAATAATACCTGAAACTATGCCCCATCCTCTCCTTCGTCCTTTTTATCTTCCTCCTCCTTCTCGTCGCTCTCGTCGACCTTCTCAGACTCTTTCTGGATAGCGCCCAAGGCCAGTTTGAAACTAGACGCCAAAAGTTAATGGGGAGATCCTCTCGAATGAAACCAAACATGCCGAACCTTTCCGCAGGCTTGACAGGCATACGCTTGTCGATCATAACACCACCCTTAGCGAACACAAAGTGACTTCGTGAAGTTTTGGTGGTACCGGCGCCGAGCGCAGAAATGAACACACGTTTGGGATCGGAAAGAAGGTTATAGGGCAGAGATTTCTATGCGAAACACGCGTGAGAACAGCGGAAAAGGATGAAGCTGAGATGAACGAACCTTATCCTTCCATTTACCCTGCTTCCCTGGCTCGTCGGCACTCAGACAATACACGTCGTATCCCGCCTCAGTGAACTTGTCGTACGCATCTCGATAAGCGCAAGCTTGTTGCGTGCAGCCGGCTAAAAGGCAGGCAAAAAAGGGGGACCAACGTAATGTAATAGAATGGAAGCGAAGATCAGTCAGCAACGAGTACCCATCCAACCACTAGCAACGCACGAGTATCAGCCCTGGGCACCAAGAAGAGCACCACGCCCCGCTCCTTGGCAATCGTCCCAATCTCAACGTCCTCGCCGTTTTGGTTCGGAAGTGTTATCGACAGTCCAGTGAGCAAGGAACCTATTTGGAGCTGCTCGACTTTTTCTTGTAATTCGTCCGTGTCTTCCGCCACCTTTTTCGTCTGGGAAAGGTCAGCGATGTCCTTGCGATAAGGGTGAACCTGGTATACCTTCTTCTTGGGCCTACCGCCCTCGCTGTCGGCTTTTCTCTTCGCTTTGGGCGCAGGCTGGGATGATATCCGCGTTGAGCGCCGTGGTTCGGCGGTCGTCGTTTCTGCAACAGCTTTGCGGGCCATCGATAGTGGTGGTACGGGTTTGAGACGTGTTGGAAGGTTCGCCAAATATATTCAAACACCGCGTCGCGTGTACGCGTCTCGGCATGCCGGCGTGTTCAAGGTTTCTCGCACAGACCCCTTGTTCGCCGTCGTATGTTCGACTCGATCACTCCCTTTGTGGACATATTCTGCTGCGGGGCCGTATGTATCTGGGTAAATTTATTTCGTTTACTTGCTTTGATTCTGCTGACGATTTTTTATCGGTAGTTAACTTCCAAAGAGGACGGCGCATGTTCGGACTCGTCGACAATGTGAATAGCCGCCAGCTTTCTCTTATGGATAATCGAAATTTCATCTTATTCCCTTTCCTAGGAATTCCATTGACATAGCACTGGTCGGATGACCAAATCTTCCAAACGGCTTTTGTTCTCCCTGCGGCTAGTGAACAATACCCTCTCACAAAACTTAGGTTCTGTTTGCTTCGGCTTCGGACTATGAGTCGTCCTTCATAACCAAGACTCAAAAACCAGTCCCGGAGTCTCTATCCTGTCCGTACCTCGCGATGAACTTGTCCTACGACCTCCAGAACTGCGGCACCTTCAATCGCAACTCTCTGCCACCAAAACTCGACCTCATCCAGGACATAAAAACCCGCATCGCGCAACTATTCCGCGCCGAGAACACCCGTGAGTCAAACATCCCTAATCTCCTCTCCCCGTCGTTGCTTATTTCGCCCTATAGTTCAGCTCTGGAAGCATACCAACCCCACCAGCTTAAACACCTCACCTTTCAACAGTATCATCATCTCTCCATCAACGCAAGAGTACCTATCCGTGGACGATGCTATCAAAACCGTAAACGAAGAGATGCCACCTGGTTACAGACTACGAAAGCCTTGCCAAATCCGCTTTCAGATTGTCGACGATAAGCCTGTAAACTCTACCGGGGAACAACGGTTGCTCTTTCTCAAAGGTACCTCGTCCGTCATTCTAGCGGTTTGGTGCAACTAAATAGATATATCGCAGATATCGACGAGCTGATTGCCCGGATACGATGGGGAAGAAGAGATCTCAGCCAGAGGATTTGTCGTATACGAAATACCGACCTGGTACAGGGAAAGCGTTAATGCAATTCTTTTCACAACCAAGGAAAGAAATGGAGTTAAAATTTGATGTGTTGCTCACCTTAGACAGACATCTGGCAACCCGGGAAAATGCATAGCCTCAAATCAGGCACACAGGACGATGCGTGTTCGGTTTCCCTTTCCTTGCGCCTTGTTATTGTCGTCGCCGCCAGTACGACGGCGGCTTTGGTTGGAGCTGTGTCGGACAGGTCCGGTCCGAGTCAGACTTGGAACCAGGTGTCTAGGCCCAAGCGGTTTCGTGCTTGTCTTAACTCTTTCTCTTCTACACCGACGATGGGTGCCTATAAGACCGATCTGCCCTTCGAGGTCGCAGAGATTATCATTTCCGAGTTTTGGTACTCTGAACATCCATCTGATGACCGTATCGCCTTCATGACTGCATGCCCCCGTATCTGCAGCCTCTGGCGGGATGTCTATGCGAGTATTACATCCCGAGACATCTACGTCCCGACCGTCGGATACCTATTCTACCTCAGCTCTATCATCCGTACCAAAAAGTCCTCAATCTACCGTCCTTTCCTCCGCAAATCTACCCGTACCATCACCTGCCATGTCGATCTCATCAAATTAATCAACGACTCAGCCATGTTCCCATACACAGTCTTGTCTCACATGCCAAATTATGCCGGCTTTCGCAAGTGTTTCCCTAACATCCAGTGCATTAACCTCGAGATTAAGCTCCTTCCGGGAGCACCACACTGGCCTTTAAGGGAGGGTTCTGACCAACTCATCCGAACTCAAGTCTCTATACGACTTGATAAAGCGAAAACACGGCTCAGTGTGCTACCTATAGATTGGCGTGTCACCGTCGATGATCCTCCGGATATCAGCGAATTCGATCCCAGTGAACTCAAGTTCATATGGACAGAATTCCTTACTGAGGTGCATCGCGATATGCATCAGTTCAGCTGGCTGCTAAGGTCCATGATGGTCGGCGCCTTCCATTCGTCTGCAGCGGAAAGCTCGACATGCTCTGATGGCGCCCGTCATTTTCGCCATCGCACCTACTGCAAAGAAGAAGGGAGCGATTTATGGGGCATCAACCATCGTTTCTGGAAGGCAGGCAGAAGTGAGAGATACATCATCTTTGATTTCCGTGATCAATTAATCATTGCGACTAGATGTCAAGACTGTTTTTTCTCTATTGCATGATTTGTTCTGGGACAACTCCCTAAGTGTTGAGCTTCCCACATGGAGACGCGACTGCAGTCCGGAACGAGGGTTTCGATGGTATCGACTCCATGATGGAAGTAAATTTGCCATGAGAGACGGCACTGTCGTCTTACTATGATGGAGAATAGCGACGCGACCTTCGTCTGACATTCAGTCTTCTGTCCCATGTCCAATTAAGCAGTGGTCTATTAATCCCGTACCGTTCATACACTGCCCCGAAGCGCTTCTGCCGCAAGACGAAGTTTTAACTCATTCAACTCCGGAATCTTTGGCCAATCCGCTATGAACTTGCACCATATGTTTACCCTCTGTCGACGCTCCTGCTCATCTGTATCTCTGTCAAGGCCTGACGTCAGGGTTTCGTAGTTGTCCATAAGGGAAGACGTGTTGTCACGGAGTTTCTGGACGACCAAAGCAAGCGAATTTATCTCATTCAACGAACAGTTTCTCTCAACGAAGTTGTTCACGGTTTCGATGCCGCGAAGAGTCCTTGATAAGGCCCTGGAAGATGTTTAGCAATCCTGGTTCTGAATATCACAGATTTGAAGGGAATACCTATGATAGTGATACATGCACTTCCTGTACAGTTGCTCGGTGGAGGGAGGTTCGGGAGGTTCTGTGCAGTATACTGCGTACATCTGGGCCATGACACCGAACTTCAAGCTCTCTAGCCTCTAGCTTTTGGTAAGGAATGAGGAGTAGCGATGGAACGAAAGAGGCGTACCGCCTTGAGCTTATCCTGTTTGAACATCCTCGCAGACTCGTTGTCCTTTCCAACCTTCTCGCCGAGGCTCGATGTCAGTCTCATCTCCAAGTTGAATGGAACTCGCCTGGATCATTGAAAGAAAGGGTTCTTTCAAATGCTTTATCACTGTTGAGACTTCAGCATCAGGCAAAAGGGAAGTTTGTTGCACCAGCGCCACGTACTGAAGTTTTTGACTCCATCTATGCTCCAGAATATAGCGCCTATAATACAGGATATAATCCATGCAAAGAAAAAAACTACGTCCTCCATGTTAAGGGTGAGGTGAAAGGCGATGTGCGTAGGTGCAAATAAGAAGCAGAGTGATTGGCAGCGTTAGTAGGCTCGTCACCGTGTGACGTCACTCAAATATCCGACGTGACCGATCTCTGTGTTCACTGTTGACTTTGACCACTCAGTCCTACTTACTACGGTATCAGAGAATTATCAAAATGACAAATGTTCAAATGTCTTTTTCCTGGGGGGTAAACTTATCTCTAATGGGAAGCAAATACCTGTTGGGTAACGGCGGTACGCGTAGTACTAGAATTAGGACGGCTATGTACGCGTTCCTGGTCATATGATATTCATGTGATCTCCTCCTGTGGTCGCTTACCGGTCGCTTTAAGTTTCAGATCGAAGTCAACAATAGTAGTATCTCGTTCGATATAAGCCTCGCGTATGATAGAGAGGAATGGGACATGGTTTTTTAGGAGGTACGCCATTGACTCCCTAGCCACGTAACCTTGGCTAACCGTTTTTTCACCTATGAACCTCACTTCTCGGTATGGATGCGAAGACAGCGGTAATATTTACGTCTGCCGTAAATTCTACAGGGGAACGGCGGTCGTTGTTTCTCAAAGGTACCTCTTCCGTCTGGTTTTTGGTTAGGCGTAACTGAATCAACGGACATCTGAAAGATATATGGGCAACGATCTCGAATTCGAGAAGGCACATGTGTTCCAGCACTGACTCCAGTGTCTTCGAGTCCAGATCTTCCGATGACTGCCCCGTACGAAGAAGGACCATGATCACTGCACATAACATGCGGTCCCACAGCCATATCGGCCGGAGTACAGTGACAACGGCAATCAGAGATTTTCTGAACAACATTACATGAGATGAGTTGAATGAGCGATAGTTACTGCACTAACAGTAGAGGGACCTGATTCCATCGATAAGAGGGCTGCTCGTCAGCTGGGTACAAGCAAATTAGATCAAAGTGTCTCCTCCAATGAATAACTTTCGCACCTTCCTGAAAGATTTAGAGCGTTAGGAATGAGGACAACAACGGCTGAGGATGATGGGCGAAGAACGTAAGGTGCGGAAACGAGAATCAAGTTCGTTACTCACGATGCACGTGTTAAGAGCTTATTTACTTGCTGTTAGAACATCGCGTCCTACACTATACATACACCTTAAGAAACCGTAGTACGCGTGCCGTTAATCTGTTCAAGAAACGCAATCATGTTTGAGAAGACAAGTTATTCATTGAGGAATTCGGGAGACAAATGCCTTATGACGACGTGATCACCCCAATTTTTATCCCAGTCACTTGAAATGGCATTGTCAGTCCGGTCGAAGGAGAGATCTCGCACTTCATAAACAAGGTATTCAGCCATCTCGAAGATAGTCATCACTCAACGCTCCCTAAATTCCGCATCACTGTTGATGTTGATATTTTGCAACTAGGCATCCATTCGGAGAGGGAATCATATCATCCAATTCCAGTATCTGTATCGGTCACTTGGGAGGAACCATTTTTGCGGAAACGAAAGCTGATATATAAATGGGTCACGAAGACAAGAATCCATTAACCAGATCCATATACCTCTCCCGCTCCTCCCACATGGGAGTATGACTCGATTTCTCCATCGTTACCCACTTGGCCTGATGAATCCCTCTAAATAGAGGCTCGACGACAAAGTCCTGAGCTATATCCGCTCGTCCGTTGATCACAAAAGTCGGAACACGAACACGGTCAAGACGATCGACAATAGTCCATGTACGCAGCTCTCCAGTAAACCTGCAGGGTCTGTCAGTATGCATTGAGGAGAATTATATGGTCACTGACATCCCCACAGCAACAGAGACAGCTGCCGATGGACTGATCGATTGATCCATCGAGTATACCAGCTCCTCCGGCCACGGATCGACGAGACATCCGTGCTTCTTGTGGAAAGCCTTGAGCGCATTGCCGTACGCTTCCATATCTGCCACGCCAACAGCCAATCCCTTCTGTACATCATCCGGGAAGGCCTTGCTGAGCTCCCCAGTCGACGCATCCCACATCTCCATATCTGCCAAAGAGTTGGCCAATACCAAGTGGCGCAACTCATCGGGCTGCCGGCGCACTTCGAACTTTAGACCGAGTATCCCACCCCACGAATAACTGAGGAAATCGAAGCCAGCTTGGATGTGGAAGTGCTCGAGAAGGTTGACCAGTTCATCGATGAAGAGATCGACAGTCCAGAACAACGGCGGCTTTGACTGGAGATGTGTCGAACGAGTGTTTCCGATTTGGTCGTAGAGGTTGACTAGGATTGAGAATTTTGTGGTGAGGTCCGAGAGGGGTGGGAGGTAGTCGTGGGATAGACCTGAAGTAGTTATCGGTGTGACAAGCATTTCGACAAGTGCTAAACAAGACCGAGCTGGACCACCATGCGCCACAACCAAGAAGGGTGTGCGCGCATGGTTATCGAGGTTACCGACAACTTTGTGCCATGTCTGGTACTCTTCGTCTTGATGGTTGAAAGGGAGGCATCCTTCAGCCGTCGACATGAACCTTCAGCAAATGTTAAAGTGAGAAGAAGAGCGAGAGACAGGGGACATACTGAAATAATGGAAGGTCCCAATTACGGTCTCACGTTCTGCTTCGCCGAAACATTCCTAACCGAGGGTACCGATGTCGCCAGACAATGTACATCGAGATGCTGAACTTGGGCGGGCGGAATCTACAAAGCCGAGAACGATGCGGTAGGGACGTATTCATTTGCGATGCCGTCCTACGGCCGACAGTCAGCTTCCGAAGGAGACCAGGGGATGCAGAGGAATGGGTACGCACAAGAAGCATTTTCACTGCGGAATATCGCCACCTCCATCCAAGCGAAAGTCCTTGAAAAGCAATTGGACAAAGGCGAATATCTTATCTGGACGCCCTCGGCTACCATCTGCGAATCACTGTGACGAGGCCGTTTACACGACATGAAGAAGCAAACTCGCGTATCACGTATACCCGAGAAGTCACAACCGAAAAAAAAAAGGTTCAGGAGAGGTGCCGATAGGTCACTGGGACACAAGGCTGAGCACTGCGGCATTGAAGCTAGGCCGAGCTGTGAATTAGGAATGGTTATAAAACATGACTAGCTCATAGCGACACACCAGTACACCTCGTTATAACTCTTCATTGCCATATTCTTTGTTGAATTTACCTAAACGAAATGAAGATGGCGAAGAGCTAGACCTCATTTCTGTACCATCGCGAAACATGTTACGTTGGCAAAAGTAGATGGAGGGAAAAACATACCTTATCAAAGTATGTGAACGCTCCAGCCCTAGTCACGGGAGATATCCCTGCCGACCTTCAAAAGATCACTCCTCGTCAAGAATGGCAGGTCTCGCCACAGCAAAAGGACGCCAGAATCTTGAAAGGATGCCCAGGTGTCTGGCCGAGATGTTGCTGAAGGTAGACTGCCTACGTTCTTCACGATAAATCACTTAATAAAAGGAAGTTGGCGTCGTGAAAAAGTCATAAGAGATATAGCCCACCAAACTGAGGAACCTTGGCATTACTCATTCCTAAAATTGTCGCAATTGGTGATGCCGGTAACAAGCTAGACCGATATCGCGATGAGCTCTGGCAATAATTGCCACGTCAAGAAGGTCCACGGCAGAGCGTTGTGCATGTGCAGACATATGCATAATTGCCTTAGGGGAGCTAAAGTCCCTAATGGAGGAGGAAGGAAAACGACTTTGTTTGTTGACGCGTTGATGATGTCCAAACAACTGCTCGTCATCGGCCATGACCACGACCTCGGCTCTTTTCGCGTATCTTAGACGATTGGCACGCCTCCTCCTGGCCGTAGCAGACAAGCGTACTTAGCACTTTACGTTTGCTGCTCATATGCATAACGAAAGTTAAATTCGGTGTGTAATGGCCTTCTCACTAGGGAGCGCTGAAAAATATGGCTTAGCCAATCGCATCTAAATAACGGCGACCTATGAGCCTGTCCTTTGCACGCTTATACCAATTATAAGGAATCCCATGCTCCAGGGGTCTATCTGTTCCATAGGCAGGCCATCTCTAAACTTCTCTTTGTCGTTTCTAATATAATCCCTACTATTAGAAACTCAATTATATGCAAGGAAGGACAAATCTTCACCCTGCGGATCTTAGAGCTGATCTCTGCAATGGTGAAGGATTGAGGATCTCGGTAACGCGACTCCGCGCGGCGCGGATGCGATGGCCCTCATCCCACAGTGCCGTAGACTGCCTTCATAATAGGGTACGGTTTTGGAACCACGATATTTCATCTTCTGGTATCGTATCTTGTTTCTTATAGGACCGTAAATCGGACTTTCGGACACTATCTGTCGCACGGGATACAAATACGTACCCCGCCTTTTCATGTGTTTCGGTATCTGTATTTGAAGTGATCCGTAGGATTCCTTAACTCAGGGATAAAACGATATGGATCTAACTCATTCGTCTCCTACACGAGGGCAGTATAATGTGGTGCCGAGTCATCCTATGCATAATCAGTGAAACTGAGAACGAGAGTGACATAAAGCAATATATAGAGGCAATTTACACTGGAGAGAGTGAGCGTACTACTGAAGATGAGGACTGGGTAAAGACAAGTCTAAGAAAATCTAACAAGCAAAGTAGTGAGGGTAGCGTAAAGGCACATTAATTGGTCATATGGAAAGGGGAGCGGAGAGGAAAGGGAACAACCGGGGTATGAAGAGAAGTACAAGAGGAGGGGAAGGGACGGTACGTAGCAGGAGAATAGCAGGATGGCGTGCACAACGTCTGCGATTCTGTAACCAACTCTGTCGGACCTGCTGCTGTAACGAAACGTGTAAAGAAATGGGTCCACGTCGCCACCATTAGAAGGGACCCTCTGCCTGCCAGTTACGCAGTATCATTCCTGCTGACGTTTTTAATCAACACTGGAATCGTCATTGACGCCCATACTGGGTCCGGTTGAATGGAATCAGCAGGCCGATCGCGCACTATGGGCCGATCTGCACCATCTTCAAAGGCAGTGCCCAAGGCAGGCTGTGAAATGCATCGGAGGTCTACTGATTCCGTGGTCACGAAAATCTTGATGAAGGTGACGTCCACATTCTGCCCTGCTGGCAGGCAGAACAGGAAGGGTTCTACCATGCCCGGGCCACTGCTGTCAGTGGAAAGGCCGAAGGAAATTTTATCGCCCTCTTTGGTAAGGCACGTCTCAACATTACGCTCACTATTGCTCGAGCTCATATTTGAGTATATGGAATCTATAAGACAGTGCGCGGTCAGTATAGTAACAAGAACAGGTGCGATCTGTACTTGCCTATTTCAAGGGTGGATGGTTCGAAAACGAAAATATGGGGGTATAGTGCTCCAACCGGGTTGGATATGAATTTCCTACGGATCGTCAACCCATATCGTGGAGCATTGTTGTTGTCGCGGGCATTAAACGGGTCGAGATCCCCAGCAACCTCGACGAACTCCCTCCGAGTCTGGGAGTCCTGTGAGTTGAGAACGGAGAGAATATCACCTCCGGCGACTTCTAGACGGTTCTCTGGGTGCCGTTTGAGTTCGTGCATTTCGACGGAGACGAAATCTTCTATTTTCTTTTGGCTCCCAGATGTCAAATAGTAGATGAAATGCGTATAGGCATCGATGAACTGCCTGATATCATCAATGTTACTGGCGAGAGGTTTGTATGAGAAGTGGTCAGGAAAGCCTTCTTGTTCAGCCTGCCTGAAAATACGATTTCCCTCCATTTTATCGAAGCAGTCACCCTTTGTCACGAAATGCTTGTAATACGTGTTCGTATTCCCTCGACGAATAGAAACTTCATTTCTGGCTCCAGCGCTGACCTCCAAGCAAATGTCCGCCTCATCTGGGCGATCGATGTAGTGGAAAGGATAACTGGGCACATTAGATGGTGAGAGGAGGTCAATCTTTTCCGGATCGTAATACACGAGCAGGTCGTCGACAGGACACTCCGATAATCGTGCATACAGTATGCCAGTGTAGTTGTAGTCTTGCGATGAGGGCTGGTTCTCTTCAAGCATGATCTTCTCCTCCTTAAAAAAGACCTTCGCTGTCGTCAATGGTGAAGACGTCATTATTGGTGAATCGGTGTCGTAGATGGCGTATATAGACTTCTCGTGGATGTGGAGAGGCCCGGCACTGTGCCCAGCATGAAGCAAAAACATACGATGACCGGTATCTGTGAGCGTTTCTGCTTTGCAAGGGATCATCGGGCGAATCATCGTTTCTGGGCCGGAGCGCATAAATATGCGTCGATGGATATGCTTCCCGTATATGCATGGAGTCTGTCTAAAGACGATGGTATCATTAAACAGGCGTCAAGTACCAGCAATATCAAAACTTACTTGGTCTTCGTTTTCTGCATTTCAACAACGATTTTATCCGTGAGCCCCCTGTATGTCAGGTGGGTGTGAATATGCCCTTGATATGCTCCTTTCAGAACCTTCAGCAGGGCCGTAGTGAATCTGCCTCCCTCTGATATCTCTCGCGCCTTCTGATCTGACAAGCATGCTGCTAGAAATACATGGGAGTCCCACGATGCACGAAAGTCTTCGCGGCTCGGGACTTTGACATTCGGGTATCCCTCTCTCGTTTCACCGTTGCCGCATTCAGGTAAGATGGGCTGAGTGTCGCACTGGGTAGGATTACTCTCGATATCGTCCACTCCGCGCACTAGCTCGCTTGGATCCGACTCGTTGGAGTCCAAATCGTCCGAGTCGGAATCATCTCCTCTGTTCAATCCTGCGGAATGGCAGCAGTCACATATCAATGTCTGGACATCGAGACATAAGTGTCGCCGAGCAGGAATTACACGATCCAGTTGACTCACAATGTTATTCCCTTTTGCATCCGACAACTTCCGGAGAATGTCACTAATCCTCTGATCAGAAATACATTCTCCCTTCACTAATTCGCCGCCACAGGCCGAATCAGGAACTCCCTTCTCGCCATCGACAGGGCACAGCAACTCTATGTAGCCGTCGTCGGTCTTCCAGCCTGGCCAATTGTTGGGCGCCTTAACCCTGCTGCCGTGCCCCGCAAAGTATATCAAGATTGCAGTCTTGTCCTTGACGATCTGTTTGTTGTCCTTGAAGGCCCTCAATTCTTCCAGGATAGCTGATCCTGTCGCATATTCGTCGGTGAGCAGTTTGATGCGCTCAGTAGGAACCTTCAAGTCCTTGCGCAACAAGTCTGCGATTGCATTGGCGTCGGGAACTGCACCCTTCAGGTGTTCAAAATGTTGGTATTCGTTGATACCGATGATCAATGCGAAGATGTCGAGACTGCATCGCACTGATCAGATTTATATGTTCCACTCAGGTAGACACATTCTTACGGTGAGTTTGTGTCTTTAGAGGAAAACCCCGCCGTTTGTCTACCCGGCGCGTTTGAGTCTGTCGGTGGCATGAGCTGGTGGTTTGAAGGAGCATAACAATGAAGGAAGCTTTACAATCCGCCGAGGTATTATTATTGTTCAGGTCGCCCATTGTGACGGAAAGTGTGATAGATCACTGGTGAAGAGAACGCAGAGGGGGAAGGGGGGATGAAAGACGTTTGAAGGATCCTGTGTTAGGTGAGCATATTTAAGTGAGTCTATTTAAGTGAGTCTGTTTCCGCGATCCACTCACAGACCGAATCTTCGGTTCAGATCCCAGGTTCGTAAAGGTGAAGTTTTGAAGCTGTATCTGAGCCTATGTTCTCGAAATACATTCTATTGGCTTGAAAGACAAAAATAAGCTCCTATCAAATAGCTGAACTCGCACCTCATGCTTGGCCCTTCAGTTTGTACATCTCCATTCAATGTTCAAGAATTCCATGGTGATAGGAACAGCCGGATCTCTTAGCGCTGAGAAACGCGCCCAAGTGACGAGTGCGACGTTATCTCCGATAAAAATAGATGAGATATAACGACAGTGGAGCTAGGTCTGGTCATCAAGCTTTTTTCGAGGACCTTTTTTGCACCCATTCATAGCTACGGGACCAGGGAAAGGTAAAATCCAGGAAATCGATCTTCAGGCTTGATAGCAGATGCAATCAGCAGGCATAAACTGATAGTTAAATCCAGAAGTCTGTTGTGGTGGAATTTCTCGTAGGTAGACGACGATACACACCTGTTGATGAGAGTGTGGCGGTGGTTGATGTCAACGAGATTGATGGCAAAGAACGTGGGAAATCGAAGACTCTAACCAGAGAAACGGCGCCGAATTTAAAGGACCGTTGCTTCTTTCGACCACCGCTGACATCAGACTCTTTAAACAAAGTGTAATTGCGCTGATACTAGACCGTATCTGCTGCAATATATATTGTCATCTTCTAACATTGAAGAATGTTCGGTTTCGCATTATTACGACATGGCTTCGGGGATGTGTGAGATTCCAACTTCAAGAGTAGGATACCTGTGTCCTCTATTGCACCGCTGTTCAGGCTTCACTACCATGCTTCAGCAATCCCAAACCGCTCTGTCATCGTTGCTGGAGGTGGAGTTGGTGGAGTTATCGCTGTAGATGGAGAGAAGTAACTTATGTGTCATCCAAAGAAAACATGATCTGTGCATGAGAAAATATTGCGGAGCGAGGATATATTTCACAGCAGATACGGTCTACTCAACTGCTCTGCAACTCTCGAGGAATAAACTTTGTTCTAACCATTCACTCCAAGCTGAAGTCGACTGTGGTTTAATTATGAAATCAGGCATGTTGCCGAATATCTCGACAGCGAGAAAAAGGAGCTTCATGTTGATTATCTGGCCATTATGTATTATGCGGATCTGTTATCCTGGTACAGATTGCTAGTTGGCAATTAGTTGGTGTATGGCATGCCAGGGAATGTTTGTGCTCATAACTAGTGTTGCTGCCACTCAGCTCAGCTCAGCTTCGGTTGGCTTTTCCCAGCTTGTACCTTAATGTCAGCTTTTTCCGAGCCGAACTCGAAATAATTCTTGGCTCCGCTCAGCTGGAGCTCAGCTCCAGTTAAACTGTAGCTGCCTTACAAATTAGGGTAAGGTAGACTCTCATTTATTCCTCCGAGTATGAAAATATACCAGAGGATAACACTTTGTAAAATATGTTTTATTTTATCATCTACATACCTCTGCGTATATATATATTCAAGGGAATGCACAAGGATAACTACAGGAGCCCAAATATTATCTGTGGCTGTGCGGTATTCTAGAGGGCAATTTATTCCCACGCTTCCTTCAGTGTATCTTCTGTCTCTTACTGCCTTCAAACCTGTCAGAATCAAGTAGTAAGGGAAGCTTGATGACTGGTAGCCTACCAATTGCAGCACTAGGTCAAAGCTAAGGGAGAAAGAGCATATCTGATGCTGGCTTCCCAATTGGGACAGCGCTCTGAGCTCCTGCGAGTTTGACCGGCTTCAACTGGATGAAGCCGGCTCCGATGCCGAGCTGAGCTATATGAAGCGGCCAAGCTACCAAACCTGGCTCAGCTTGGCTTTCTCCGGCTCAGTTCCATCAGTTCGGCAGTTTTAGCCCGAGCTAGTCTGGCCGCGGTCCGGTCCAGGACCGTGTGAACCCGGTCCGGACCCGAACCGGACCCACAGGTTTTACCTGAGCTGTATCAGCGGAGATGGCCAATCAATCCAGTTTTCCAGTTTTTCAGGTCCGGTCCAGGTTCAGGTTCGGCACAGCTGCCTGGGTCCAGGTTCGAGGTTCAACCTCTTTGAAAATTCTGGACCCGGTTCGGACCCGGTCCGAACCTTGCGAACCTACCTCGAAATAATTCATGATTTTTCAGGTAAAGCTTCCAGCTGCAGAAGTTATATCATGCAAATTTTTTGACTGCTATCTAATATGTTGAGCTGAGAGTGATAGTGGAGGTAATTGTATAGTTAAATGAGATAAGGTTTAAGCCACCGGCATACGTCGTACAATAGTCAGATTACATCTTCACACAGAAATCTGAGCAGTTAAACAGACAATAACATCGTCTTCAGAGACCTCGAAAACGGGGGTGCACTGAAGACAAGGCTAGTTGGGGTTGTTGTTGAATGAGGAGGGAGTAATGTTGGTGAGAGGGGGATGGGGGTGAGTCAGTGGCCGTCGCTCGAGATAGGGACCTCATGGACTCAAACGGTGGGCGGCATCGTCTTCGGCGACCTCAAAAACGGGGGTATACTGAAGACGAGGCTGAATGAGGCCCTCGTTGGGCAGTGGTAGATTGGTGTTGGGGAAGGGGGAGTAGTAAATGGCACGAGCGTCGTAGCGCAAGATAGCGGGCTGGCGTAGTGAAACGAATACTGCCATCGTGTTCGGCGACCTTAAAAGTGATAGCTTCCTGAAGACGAGGCCGAACGGGGCTCTCGTTGGGCAGTGGTAGGTTGATGTTGGGGAAGGGGGGTAGTAAATGGTACAAGCGTCGTAGCGTAAGATAGCGGGCTGGTGTAGTGAAACGAATGATGCCATCATCTTCAGCGACCTCAAAAACGGGGGTACACTGAAGACAAGGCCGAATGGGGCCCTCATTGGGCAGTGGTAAGTTGGTGTTGAGGAAGGGGGCTAGTGAATGGCACGAGCATCGTAGCACAAGATAGCGGACTGGCGTAGTGAAACGAATGATGCCATCGTGTTCAGCAACCTCAAAAATGGTAGCTTCCCGAAGATAAGCCCGAACGGGGCCCTCCCTGGGCAGTAGTGGATTGACGTTGATGGGGTGGGGGTGGAAATGGGCCGGTCATCGTCGCGCGAGATTGAGACATTGTGGGGTCAAACGAGTGGTGCCATCGACTTCAGGGACCTTGAAAACGGGGGTGTATCGAAGATGAGGTGAAACGGAGCCACGGTTGGGTGGGGATAGGTTGATGTTGAGAAGCAGGGGATGTAGGCTGTGACAAGTGACTCATTTGGTCAAACTCGTATTTTCTTTGTTAGCTATGGCCCGAGACTATCTTTCCGTCCCTGGATCTTCTGCGCCTTCGGAGCGCGTGTTCTCATATGCTGGTCGTACAGACTCTGACCCTCGCCGTCGCAATCTTGACGCAGAGAAGTTCGGCACCATGCAACGTCTGAAGGAAGCTTATCAGGATGGACGTACAGTTATTTACCGGTCATTGCAACACCATGGTTCAATGAAACACTTAGCCTCTTGCTCTCCCTCCCTTCATCCTTCATCATCAACTTGTATTACATTGCTGATGTGTATTGTATCTTCATGTTCTGCAGTGATTCTTCATATGTGACATGAATAATATTCCCGAGAAATTGAGGCTTCTGTTCTAAAAATATCTATTTTCTCATGAACTCAAAATCTGACCTGGAAATGTGTGTCCTCCATCTGAATGTAATCACCCACAAAGGCCTCAATAATGTTAATGACCTTCTGAAGAACCTGTGTGACAGGTTTGAGACCAAGCGGCCATTATCTGAGGAGTCTAGGGCATAAATAAAAGTGCGGTTCTGCCAAGCCATCACCTTTGATGGACAGTCTGACAGTCCAATGCGTCCATTATTGCCCTGCTGCCTCCGAACTTTATTTCTCCTCTTGTTCAATTTTTTACTATGCCTGGACATGCCAAATCAAACTCGAAAAAGTGTCAGATTGCTCACAAATGCCATGACCAGCTAATGGAAAAGGCAGTCATTGCAAATGATTGCATACAAGAATGAGCTTGTCAAACTACCTGGTGCTCCTTGGAAAGGTGCAAGAAAAATCTGCAAAGATTTTGAGGCTGTATATCAGAGAGAGACTGGAAAGGAGATCTCACTTTTCTATAGCACTCGAGCGATTCCGAGTAGCTGACTAATGAGGTTTGGGTATATGGGCCGGACTGTTTCAATGACTCAAAATAGCCTAGAATACCCACGCCACGATAATGCTGTGAAAACGGACTTGTACTCGCACCTTTGAGCATCTTTTTTTACTGTATCTTATTGTTGTATAGTATTACACATTCTTACATTCAAACCTAGTCAAAATTCCCAACCAATTGGAACCTACAGTAAATATCCAGTTTTGCTGTTTCATTGACCGGTAAATAACTGTATCAGTGTACAGAATGAAGCGTGGATGGAAATCGGGCCATGTTTTGATGATGAAAACTGGGACATAGAATAATCGTGTATCAGATGTATAAATATTAGAGTCTGTGGTGCGTAGAATTTTTTTTGCTGAACCAGGTTCGAACCCGAACCGGACCTGAACCGAACCTTTTGGACCTGAACCTCAGGTTCGGGTTCGAGGTTCGGGGAGACGGGAGGTGAACCTTGAGGTCCAGGTTCGAGGTTCAGGCAAATGTGCCCGAACCTGGACCGAACCGGACCGCGGCCAGACTAGCCCGAGCGGCGGCAACACTACTCATAACTCTTGTGCTGCTCAGACTGCGTGGATTACTTATATCTGTATAAGCTGCGCATGCTGGAAATCCTCAAGCAGTTCGAGTCCTCATCTTCCACCCACACATTGATGCCTGATATCTGTTCTTGATCTTTGCCTTGTCTTAGATTCCCATGATAATGGGTCTAATATCAGCA